ATTGGGTAATAAAGGCTTTTGTTAATTTTCTTCAACCATTAATGTGAGTCTTATCTAGTTGTACATATCATCTGACTGCTAAACTAGTGAAGTTATCTTAGAAAATATGGATGAAAAAATTTTGATCATGTGTGTATACAGTGATTTTACGATAATACATTGTTACATGTGTGATAAGGCATTTGGTTCCATCATATTTCTCAAATTCAAGCACCTTGAACTTTGGTAGAATCATAACACCAAGAACCAAGCACAATCAAATAGCATCCATTGACCCATAAAACTTTGTTTTTTTAATGCCTTTAAGCCTCTTTTCAATGAGAACTATCTTACGAGACCAGAACTTCTTTTATTATCTGTGGGGCCTATCTTCAATTTTTCTTACTCATTTGGGTTATAAAGATTTGGAACTTATGTAAAATTAGATGTCTTGATGTCAAGAACAAAAGTAATGAGAGTAAAAGCAGTAATTATTAGCATATCAGCATGCATATAATGATAACTTGCAATAAATGGCATTTATGATTGGGTCCCTTGAGATACTTATGCAATGTATGGGCCAAAACTAGGAAGATACAATGAGTTATTTTGTTTTGGACTACCACTTCTTCCACCACTTTTTTCCCCTTACTTATATTCTTTAACAACTTGGTAATGGTTTCTAGTTGACCCTTTAATTCTTTTTGTGCCTTTTTAAACTTTTGTAAGTGAAGAGTATTTTTTTTTTCATGTCCTTACTTGGTATCAAGTGTTGTAGCACCTTGGATTGTTTAAAGATTGAGCTATCCTTAAATCTCAATTTACCACAATTAAAGTGCATATTTAGAGAGATGTTAATGAAACCATCCAATTATGGATAAGAATGAATGCATGAATGTAATAAAGAGGATTTACCATATAACACTTGTTAATAAGAAAAATCTTAATTGAATTAAAAGTTATTTCTAACTAAATTTAATATCACATCTATGAAAAATCTAAAGTTCATTGTAGAAAGAAATCCCTAATTTGTTGATATTGACTTTGCACTTCATTAAGAAAATCTAATAGTTCTTGACCATGTGCTCCTATTGGTTGCACCATTGTTTTTCATTCTTCAACCTTTTCTACCATGTTCTTGGCTTTGTAAGTAGCCATAGTGATTTAGTTAAGCATGTAATCCAACTGTTCATGCTTTCTTATATATGTTTTATTTGCTTACTCACATTCTTCATTCATAGCCCCTATTTGTGTTTCAATTTCGACCACAACGCCATTCAGCATTTGAATGTATTTTTATGCTTCAAAGAGTGCATATTCACTTTCTTACACCTTTACTTGCAACAGTCTATTTTCTTTTAAAAGTTAAGCCAACTCATGAGTGATGGTTCGAGAGTCGTTTACATGTAGAGAAGGTATTAGCATTCCATTACGCCAAAATTTGGTACCAAATTAGCTATATTTAATTTTACCTAGGCCTTATTAAAGATAGTTTTTATCATGCAAATAAATCAATTCTAATCCCTTTAATTTATTTATCTACACAACGTTGTCATACAAAAATTCTATAAAAAAATCAAATCATGCAATCATGCAGTAATAAAAAATATCATATCAATATAAAAATCATATAAAAAAATTATGCAAGGATATCATCCAATAAATAAAAAGTCATCATGCAATGAGTCATGCCAAAAAATAAACCAAAAATATAATAAATCATGCAAAACTATATCATGCAATAATTATTATACAAAAATCAAACATAAATATAATAAATCATGTAAAAATAATCATGCAATAATATAAAATATTATGTAATAATTATTATGCAAAAATCAAACACAAATATAATAAATCACATAAAAATAAGCATGCAATAATCATGCAAATATATTAATCAAACTCATGCAAAATATATATTAAAACATGCAATTAATTAAACTCATGCAACAATAAATATCATGCAAAAAATACTAAATAAAAACATCATAAATAATTTTTCCAAATTTTTTTCTTTTTCTTTTCTTCATTCTTTAATTCAATCACTCAATTAGAATAATAAAAAATAAAAAATAGAATAGTAAAAAGAACAAAAAATAAATTAAAAAAACCAGAGAAATCAAATCAATTCAAATCAAATCAAAAATAAAAAGAAAAAAAATAAATGTGTTGTGAGTTAGGTCTCCAAGCAGATTGGCGCATAGGAAGTCGGGTCACACACAGATCCTGGCCAATTCCAAAATGACGTTGTCTAGTCCTAGTATAAAAGCAAAAAATTTTCCTTTTCGTAGACTTCATCTTACTACTTCTTTCTCTAACTTTTTTTTTCTCTGACTTCTTTCTAAAAGTTCAATTGGAAAACTTAACTAATTCCAAAATCTAAAAACCCGGATTTCGACATTGAAAAATTCAATCAACACAAAAAAATTCAAACTATTTTCCAAAAAATCCCAAAACCCACCTAAAATTCCTTTAATCACCGTAAAATTGCTAAAAACTTCAAATTCCATTGAAAAATGTAATCCCAAACCTATAAATTCCTAGAATTCAAACCCAAACCTAAAAGAAAACCAAAAAAATTCCAAAAATTCAAAAATTCAACCAAAATTCCAATATAATCCAGATAGCCAAAACACAAACCCAAAAGAGAATCAGAATCCAAAATCAATCCTAATTCAAGAACAACCCTAGAAATTTAAACAAACACAAAAAAAAAAAAAAATAAGAATTCAAAATCAATCAAAGCCCAAAACAAAAACTAGATTCGAGACAAATCTCAGAAAACCCAAACTCAAGATGGTTCCTAGAAACCACCAAAAAAAAAAAAAAAACAACCCAGGATCAAGAATAAAAAATCCAAAATTTTTTAATGCTCAAATTGAATGCCAATTTGCTTATTGCTTGCTTAATTATTGCTTGTTGCTTTTGTTTGCTTATTGCCTATTGTCTGCGTGCTTTTGATTGCTTAAGCTTCTTCTTGCTTTCTTGTTCATGTCCTAGGATTGCAGATTGGAAGTCCTTTTACGGAGATAAATCCCACTTCAATTTGGACAAATTTTAATTTCACCAAATCTAGGAAAAGTTTTCATGCTTTGATTTTTTTATAATCTTTCCTTTTCCATAGATTGGGACTCAAGATTTTCCTTAAGTAATTGATCTTTATGTTTGAAAATCTAGAACCAAATCTACAGAGTTTCCTCACTTTTTTTTTTTTTAATTTCTTTGCTTTTTGTTTTGTTTTACTTCTTTTTTAACTTTGACCTTTGATCAAAACAAGATTAAACCAAAAATATTAAAATTAAAAATAAAAATTTAAAGATCAAAATTCAAATTAAAATTAAAATCAACACTTTTTTTGGGCTTTCGATCTTTTGGATCCAAAACTTTTGTATTAAGGTTCATTTCACAATCAAAGCCCATTTCAATTCCAAAAAAAATATTTTGGACAAAATGGAATATTTACAATATATAATTATACTTTTCCTTAAAGATGGGGATAGGCCCTTGCCAACTTCAAGGATTCGGATCGCTAAACGTGTATTGCCTGCATATGATTTATAATAATAATAATAATAATAATAATAATAATAATAATAACTTTTAATGAAGCATGTATATTGTATATATAATTGTTACATTAAATAATTAAACCAAATTTAGTTTCTTCAATTTCATGCTATACATTAATATGTTCTCGTAAAAGAAGTATTTAATCTATTTATGTAAAATCTAGTTTCCTTTTCTTTTGAGAATATACTTTCATCATATATAGTTTCCTTTACCTTGAGTTTTACTGATAAATACCAATGATAACAACAAATACGAAAACATAATCCTTATATCAAAACAAATTTATAATTGAACATGTAATTAGTTTTGATCGTTATGTTTAACTTATTCATATTTATTAACGTAAGTAATGTGATGGTCAAGTTTGTGGATCATAATAGTCATTCAATCAACATTTAACTTATCAATAAAGTAACGTGATGATGGCGAATTTGTGACCACCTTTAAATGATAAAAAAATACCTTAAAATCTTTAGGTATTAGTTTTAAGTTTCATTGTTTGAATTTCAACCTATTTAAGTTTATATTTTTTAAAGCTACAAATTAGTTTTTTTTTTTTTTTTGGCCAAGAAGTTATATGATTTGGTTTATTAATTTTTTTTGTTTAATTCATTTCAATTGCTTTATAATAAATGTAATAGTTATGTCATATATTTAGATTAACATATATGTTTAAATTTTAAATGATTAAATCTAGATAGAATTTTTACCAATTACTAAAAATTCATGATGACAAGTTAATGTTAAGTTTATGTAATATATATAAATTACTCATTTGATTTGTTAATTTTGTTTTTCACAAAGGGAATATGTAGTCTGAAAATAGTAAAATTGGCTGCAGGAACGATGAAAATAGCATTGGTATTGATAGTGACAAAACTGCAAAAAGCAGTTATACCTCACAATCTTTATTCCTTCGATAACTTGCGAAACCAAAGTGACGTTCAATAAGAACTTCTAGAACCAGTCACAAATTAAGCCACGGTAGCCCTCAGGCCTAGGCCGAGAATGACAGGTATCTACATTTTAAAGATAATAAAGCCACACTGCCAAGTCTTTTTGCTAGTCTTTACTCTTTTTACTAAGCTGGCTACCTTTTTTTTTTTGTTTTGTTTTCCTTAACCTGTTTCTACTTGCAGAAGTTCATGCATGAAGTAAAAAATGTGTGTAAAACGACAAAAGCAATAAGTTTTCATACCTATGTACGAGGTGCAATATAAATGCTTGAAAGCAAAGCAATAAATTTTCATACCTATGTACGAGAAGCAATATAAATGCTTGAAAGCAAAATAGAAAATGAGTTTAAAGACAGACTTTAAAATTCAACAAGGAATTATAAGAATCACATGTTTAACCACAAACAGCATAGAAATGGATTGTAGGCCTCAAATAATTTCTATAAATCAGATATGATCATCTCTCAATTCTGCAACAGACAGGGAATAAGAGTAGAAGTAGAAATGGGCAATCCACATATTCTAGTTGTACCCTATCCAGCTCAAGGCCATGTTATCCCTCTCATGGAACTATCCCAAAACTTAGCTAAACAAGGCTTCAGAATCAGCTTTGTTAACACAGAGTTTAATCACAAGAGGATCATGGATGCATTTGGAAAGAATGTTGATGAAAATGACCTAGTTCACCTAGTTTCTCTCCCAGATGGGTTGGAAGAAGGGGAGGATAGGAATCAGATAGGGAAGTTAATTGAAACATTATACCAGGTTATGCCCAGAACGCTGAAGGAGTTCATTGATAAGGTTAATAGATCAGAGGATGATAAGATTACATGTGTTCTAGCCGATGCTAACATGGGGTTGGCGCTTGATGTTGCAGCAGAGTTGGGAATCCGGAGAGCAGCCGTGTGGCCGGCTTCAGTCTTTCAACTGGTGTCGTGTCTTAGTATCCCGAAGCTTATTGATGATGGACTTATTGATGAAAATGGTAAGATCCTCTCTTTAACTAACTAGTAGTATCTTGCAAATGAAAGTAAAATTGACAATTCCTTTATTTGTATTTATTTATTTCATATTTGATACGTATCAAAAGATGAAAATTAATTTATTTAAATTCCAAATATAAAATATATACTTTTTATTTTTATCAAACACATACAAGATTTTTGTTAAAATTTTAAACTACATTTTCATATTGTATTTCAAATTACTAAATCTAAATGAAAGTCATCGAGATGATTATGTGCGAAATTTACTCAAGATTCCGAAGGTCCTTTTATTGAGTTTACCTGATGAAAAATACAAAGCATGCGCTGAGCTTATAGCAAAAGTGTTGGTGCCTTAAACTCCAAGGAAAACAGTTGTTTTTGAACAATGAACAATAAGCAAATGCAAGAAAAGCATTTGAATACAGATATTTTCAGATTCAGATAGTTGTCAATGATTATTGAAATCTGCTTTGCAGGTACTCCAGTTAATGAACATAAGATGTTTCAACTGTCACCAACCTCGCCTGCTATACACCCAACAAAATTTGCATGGCTCAACTTTGATGACTCTACCACACGAAAAATTGTTTTTCATCTTTGGAAGAGAAACAATAAAGCTGTTGAGACAGCAGATTGGGTACTTTGCAACTCTAGTTTGGACTTGGAGCCTGGAGGGTTCAACTTGGTTCCCAAGGTCTTACCGATTGGTCCACTATCAGCAAGCAATCGGCTTGGAAACCTGTCAGGAAATTTCTGGCCAGAGGATACAACTTGTTTGCAATGGCTTGATCAACAGCCACCAGGTTCAGTCATATATATTGCATTTGGAAGTTTCACAGTTTTTGATCAAATCCAATTCCAAGAATTGGCTCTGGGGCTGGAACTCTCCAACAGGCCGTTCCTTTGGGTTGTAAGACCAGATATTGCCAAGGGAAAACAAGGTGTTTATTTCCCAGAAGGATTTCAGGAAAGAGTAGCCAGTCAAGGTATGATGGTTGGTTGGGCACCACAAGGTGCAGTTCTGTCTCATCCTTCCATTGCTTGCTTCTTAAGTCACTGTGGATGGAATTCTACCATTGAAGGTGTAAGCAATGGGGTTCCCTTCTTGTGCTGGCCTTACTTTGCTGATCAGTTCCTGAATGAGAGCTACATTTCTGATATTTGGAAAGTTGGATTGAAATTTGAAAGGGATGAAAGAGGGATCATCTCAAAAGAAGAGATCAAAACCAAGGTAGAACAATTGCTTGGTGATAAAAATTTCAAAAGAAGGGCTGTTCAACTAAAGGAAATGGTTGCCAATAGTGTCAAGGAAGGTGGTAGCTCTGACAGGATATTCAAGAATTTTATTGAGTGGATGAAATCATAGACAAGTTCTTTGCATTTAGTTTATAATTTTTTTTTTCTCTTTGCCTAGTGAATTATGAAATTTAAAAAATAATCAAAAGTTGTGTGTTATGTTGTTAGAGTAATAAACTTTTAAAAGGTGATATAATTTTTTTTCTTTTGTTTGGCTAAAAGGTGAAAAATATGTCCAAATTATAATTCAATAATTATTTAAATTTTTAATATTTTTATTACTATCAATTATGTCATTAATCTTCTATTTCGACTAAATTACATATTTAAATAGACAAAATTTAGTTACGTGACAAATTTTAACCAATCAACTTCAAACTATAATCAATTGCCTTATAAAGATCTTATAGAGAGAAAAAGAGAAGAAAATAAAAAAGAAAAGAAAAAAGAAAATAATTTTTTCTTTAATCTTCACATATATTAATTATATGACGTAACAAATTTTAATTTATTTTATTGATATCACTTAAAATTTTATTTTAGTTGACAAAAAAATTAATAATATTAACTTTTCAAGCTAAATAAGAGTTTAATTAAATATAAATAGATATAGGATGGATTGAATGATTGTAATAAAAGAAATAAAAGTTTAAATAATTTTTTTAATTATAATTCATGACTTTTTAACCCTTAAGAAATATTTTCACGAGACAAGATCATATCAATCTCAAAGCTATGGAATCAATTAGCAAAGATTTTACATATTAATATTATAAACAACTCATTTTGCTTGAATCTTTTTAATATTTTTAATTTCGAGTTTTAATTTGATATTAAATTTTGAATTATAGAATCAGATTTTAACCCAAACTTAGGGTGAAAAGAGTTTATTTATTCATTTTATTTTTCTTTTTGAAATTTGTTTTTAGTTGGTCAAAGTTAAAAGTGAAAAAACGAAAAAAAAAAAAGAATATCGAAATTGAAAATATGTGGCAGAGTATCAGAAAGATGATTCATTTGAGCACTGAATTTGGTAATTTTATCGTAAATGTATGCAAATAAAAATATTAGACAAAAATACAGAGATATAAGAGTAAATAGAAGTAAAAAAAAAAAGAGAAAAAATAAGGCTTTAACACATAATAAATAAACTGAGTATCTTATGTTGCTTGTTACCAATAAATTTTCAGCTATGGTTCGTAATAACTCTAAAAAATTGGGATATCGTTCGGTATACTGATTTCTTCGCAGATGGATCCCTTTCGTGATTTTTTTTTTTTGTTTTGTTTGTTTTGTTGGGTGTGTCTACACTGCTTTTATTTAAGGATATGATTTTCTTTAATTATCAAATTAAAAGCTAAAACAAAAGACCATTTAAAATACATCAAAATACAAAAAATTAAAATTAAAAATAAAAAGAATTTTCTTAATAATATAAAAAAATTTCGTTCATCTTTTTCCATCAGTTCACTAATGGACGCAAGAACACACACCGATGGGATGTCTACATCGTGTCTCCCAAGCAAGTGCCATATCAGGACTAATCTTTTGCATCCACTGCAATCAGTGCCACACTTCGGCTCGATCAGTCGATCTCTTTTCAACCTTTCTATTCTTTTCTTTTCTTTTTTTTTTTTTTTTCTCATCCAGAAACTCTATTCAATGTTTGATCTTCATATTTTTTTCTTTGTTTTGCCAAATCGTCTCCTTCTTCCTCATAAACTTCTTGTCTAGAAGCTTCTACCTTCAATTTTTTTTTTCTCGAAATTGTCTCCAATTTCATGTCTAGAAGCTTCTCTATAAATTTTTCCACTTTGTCCCATCATTAATTATAGACAGATATAATACGTAAATATAAAAAATATAAAAGGCAATCAATCAAAACATGCCAAATTGCATAAAAAAATTATGAAACTTATAAACAACGGCTAACACAATACCGATTTAGAGATTATTATCCATAACAGCAACATGCTCGCGGTTTGCTGTGGGTGGAAAGTTTTTATCTGTAATTAATAATATTAAATTTAATAAATCAGTGAATATAATTTTATTTATAATTTTTAATGAAAGCAATGATTTTTTACTTCAATTTTCAAGGAAAAAAACCATCCTACCCCAATCAATTTTAATTAAAAAATCGTCTCTACTGGATCAATGGATTAAAGCCTGTCGAATATCAATTATTTGAATATCCCTATTTTCATTGATCTCATTTTTTATTAAAATTTGTTTTATTTAAAAAAAAAAGATAAAAACAATTGAAAAAAAAAAACTCAAATGGAGCATCACGTAGATATTTCTATTATCATTTTATCTTTCAAAACATAGACAAAAAATGCTAAAAATAGAAAATTAAAAAAAACCAAATAGCTAAAACTAAAAAAAAGAAAAGACCTAAGTAAAATAGTAAAAAAATATGAGCCAAACTAATAATTAAATCCGACTTCGATTTTGACCCAACATCGAATTATTACTCATTAATACCTAATTTGGGTCTATCACATATATATAACCCATATCCAACTAATCAAAAATTAATTCAATAATTTTAATTTAATATAATATTCATGAAAATATTATTTTTTAATATAAAAATATCTTAATTATGTATAAATATAATTTTTATTAAAATAATATATTAAATAATAACTCTATTAATATTAATATAATATATATAAATATAAAAATAAATAAATAATAAAATATATTTTTATATTTACTGAGAAAAAACAAAACACCTTAAATCCGCCTCAATCCTAAAATCGTATTTCAAAAAAAGAAAAAACTTGACTTAATCCCAAATTAATAAAAAAATCTATTGAATCAAGGTGTACTGAAACCTATTAGATGTAGATTATTTTGTTATTCTTACTTCCATTGATTTTTTTTCTTACAAAAATTATCTAATTAAAAAAAAATGTTAAAAACTAAAAGAACGAAAAAAAATGACAAAAAGTAAAAGAAAAAAAAATGTCAAATGAGGGTGTCACATTGATTTATTAAATTAAAATATTAAATAATAACTTTATTAATAGAATATATAATTATAAAATTAAATAAATAATAAAAATAATTTTTTATACATACTCAAGATGAGGTGAAACACCTTAAGTTATCTTCAATCCAATCTAGATTTAAAAAATAAAAAAAAAAAACAGTGATCTAATCCTGAATTTTTTTTTAAGAAAAACACCTATATTGGATTGAGGTGAAATAAAATCTATCAAATATAAATTGTTTTATCTTCTTTAACTCAATTGATTTTTTTTTTTGACAAAATTTATCTAATAAAAAATAAAAACCAAATAAAATAAAAGACAAACAAAAAATAAAAAGTAGATTTTGGAAGAATGTTGGGTAACACATTGAGACCCTCACCTTCATTCAAAATCTACAAAATTAATATTATAAATTTCTTTCACCAAAATTTGCCAATTGTCTCATCATAAACCCACTTTAAGATTAATTTTACATAATTTCCTCTGTGACTTTGTATCTGTCTTTCACTCTGCCAACTAACTATTTGCAAAAGTTTTATATATAATAATAAATTCAAAGTTTGAAGAAAGATGTCCCTAATGTTTAGAAGATCCCAGACAATTGATTATATAACCACCAAAAGCAAATGCTTATAAAATAATATTGTGATAGGTATATATAGAATTAAACAAGAATCTCATCTCCCTAAGGTGAGAGAATATCAAGCAAAAGAAGACAAGAATTAACATTTCAAAAAGGAGTATTGGAGATAACCAAAATCTATCTATACAAGAAATTAATAACATAACCACCAAAAGCTAATGCTTATAAAATAATATTCTGATAGATTGACATAGAATTCAACAAGAATCTCCTTTCCCTAAAGTGAGAGAATATCAAAGCAAAAGAAGACAAGAGTCAACATTTCCCAAAGGATTAGTAGGGATAACCAAAATATATCTATAAAAGAAATTGATAATCTATCCATCAAAAGCTAATGCTTATAAAATAGGTTTAAATGTGTCATATATCCACCAAAAGCTAAATCTCATTTCCCTAAAATGAGAGAATATCAAGCAAAAGAAGACAAGAGTCAACATTTCCAAAAGGATTATTAGGTATAAGCAAAATATATCTATAAAAGAAATTGATAATATACCCACCAAAAGCTAATGCTTATAAAATGGGTTAAAATGTATCATAGATTCTTATATTCTTTGAATTTTGAAAATTTAATCCCTCTACTATAATTCAAAATAAAAAATTCTTAAAATTTTTAAATTTAAAAATTTAATGCAATTATTAATAATATTAAAATTTATCCATTAAATTAATTGATGTGATTGTTGATTTGCTTGCATGTTAGCTAACATTGCCGACGTGGCATTTTGATAGATTGGTGTTAAATTTCGGTGATGAAGTAGATTAAAATTTTGGCTACATGACTTAGATAAACCCAATTCAGCTCATTAAACTTTATTTTATTTTTAAATATTATTTATGCTTAATATTTTCCTAACATCATTAAAAGAAAAAAAAACCTGAAATTCAAGAAACAAAAAACGATTTTGCAATTTGTTCTTGAATCAGAGTGATATGATTTGTGGAGAGAAACTATTAAGCATATGATAACCAACCTCTGTGATTGCCAAAGTCAGCGTGGTCTTTCCATGATCAACATACCCAATTGTTCCTACATTAACATGAGGTTTTCTGGAAAATAAATCATCATACAAATAAGAAAACGATTTCAACAGTTAAAATGAAAACCCATTTCATCTATCTCTTCCTTTCATGGTTATTTATTATGTTTAAACAGATATCTCCATTAAACCTCACAAAAAAACCTACCACTTTTTTTTTAAACGAGTAAACCCCAAAACGGAAATGAATGACCTTTTCTATTCTTAAAGTCACAATTTTTGCCAACTAAAAAACCCCATAAAGAAGTTGAGAGTTGAAAGTATCAAAAAGAAAGAGATCTAATTTGTTTAGCAAAAATTAAAGGAAGAGAGCTGACATGCGAGTGAACGTAGCCATGGATCTCCACCAAGGGTTAGCGCTAGCAGGAAGCGCCGCCTCATTTCCAGAGAGAGAATCG